TCTCAATTTATCCAAATCCATGTCTTGCACGTTGTTCATAGGGTTCCAGTGACGGATCTCTCTACTATCTCCGCTCCCGTCTACGTGACTATACATGACAAGTGCCGCCAACTTCAAGGTTGTTATCACCGACACATGATGCCCAGGGGGGGGTGTGCATATGTGATCATGCCCGATTCTACACACTCCAATGGACCTGTTACTCACTAGAATATCGGAGTAGTCTCTAATCTGCGGACTAGCTGCTCATTCTATCCCTCTATTCTATGCTGCGGAACAATTCCAACGCTTATAGTCTCAGCCACGGTGGTTTGCACGAACGGATCAGCACGATATCAACTGACTCGAAGTGGTAATACATGTTGATACCGCTCATTCAACAAATAAGCCAAACACCATCAACTGACCCAAACTGGCAATACATGTCGATACCGCTAATTCAGGACAGGCACAACGAATGGCCAGTAAGCCCAATCCAGACTCATCCTTCTCTCCAACATTCAACATTGTCCATATTAGGCCTCACCTCTCGTTTCTTCTCCAGTGATGTGGATTCACTCCCGCCGTTGTCCAATACCATTTCCTCTATCCTCTGTCGTGAATCAACATCAATGATAAGGGAAATAGCGCTTATGCAAAACCGTTGAGAGCTTGAAACCCTTTCCAAACATTGACGACTTGTACAAGTTCGGAGTCTATATCTGAACATCCGCTCAAGCTTCACTGCCGAATGGTATTCCCGGCAGGGACTGTGACACCACCCCTGCGTGCCGCACTATCGAGATTAACCCCGGCACTTCATCAGCAATATTAGGAGGTCCACCTAGGAATGCGGCCTTGAAGCTCCCGTCTCAACAGGGACGCGTCATCATTAAACTAAGAACTCAAGTCTATCGTGATGCATATTCCTTGAAGGTTACGACAACTGGGTGAAGCCAGTACATAGCAATGCGCCAGGACCGTCAAAGATACCGAGTATTCCATTTATCTAACTCAGATGCAAACTATGAGAACGAACCAACCTCTAAAATCTCCCCTGAACAGGGTGTATCTAGACAATACTGTCTATCCTACTCTCCAAGGAGCCCCGCCGATAAACGCCGATTCAAATGCCGATGCGGCTGCTACTAAAGCTTCTACAGCATTGCCTCTAGTCTATTTTAACGACTTGCCAAATAACCCCCGCTCTCCAGCAGGCTTGACGAAGCCACAAAGCTGAATCCTCCAAACATGTCATCCTTGGATGGACTGGCCGGCCAAAATTCCCTAGACGAGACCGTTGGGCTCAAGGAAAGCTCCGTGAATTCAGGCGCAAAATTCTCTGCCAGTTCAGGATCGGTGATCATGGGCTGGATGGGTGGCTCCATCTCTCGTGCGGCTAGCTTCTTCCAATCAATCTTGCGAAAGAATCTGTGCTTCCTCAACGTCTGCATATCCTTGGGCATCACAGCACCCAGTCGTTTGCTGGGGTCTTTCCTCAGGAGCCGGGTGAGAAGGTCTTTGGCATCCAGGCTGAGGTAGTAAGGTAGCACGAGCTTTTGCTTGACAATATTGTCCTGGATCTTGGCATGGTTTCCTCCCCGGAAAGGTGGGTTTCCTGTCATCAGGTCATATGCGAGGGCCCCAAACGACCACCAGTCCACGGCTTTGCCATATTTCTTCCCCAGAATAACCTCGGGGGCCATGTATTCAACGGTACCCAAAATGGAATTGCAGCCTTCTTCGGATGGGTCGACTGCCACCTTTGATAGGCCAAAATCTGTCAGTAAAAGATGGCCCTCTGCGTCGAGGAGGCAATTTTCGGGCTTGAGATCACGGTACACCACGCCCAAAGTATCATGAAGGTGGGAAATGGCCAGAAGCATTTCAGCCATGTAAAAGGCGGCCACCGACTCGGAAAACATCTTCTCGGTGTTAAGATGAGTAAATAGTTCTCCTCCCTGGCCGTATTCCAGAATCAGATAGAGCTTTTCTTGGTCTTGGAAGGCATAGAAGAGCTTGACAACAAAGGGGTGCCGGTTCACAGATTCCAAGATCTGCCTCTCCGTCTTGGTCTGCTCAACTAACTTCTTGTGAACGACAAGAGACGCCTTCTTGAATTGCTTTTGGGCATAGAGCCTTCCGGTTGCGCGCTGCTTCACCAGTACAACTGTGCCGTAAGTTCCCTTGCCCAGGCATCGAAGCGGCTCAAAATCTTCCGACGTCATCTTGCGCCTCGGGTTTAGCCCGCCTTCGAGGGTTCCCATAAACGACCTCTCGCGCACACTCTCGCTCACGAAGTCGTTCTCTAGATTGACCTCATAACTAGTCGAGCCGCCATCAGAAAGCTCACTGCCGGTTTCACTTCGAGTCCCATCTCGGCTCTGGGAGCGGCTTATCTGCCCCAGGCTTGTCGAAGAATTCAGGCGGCTGCCATTTCGAGACATGGATGACGAGCGCGACCCCGGGTCAAGACTCAAAGGCTCCATTTGCAAACGTAGCTTGGCGATTCCCGAGATCCTTGGCGAAGCCGTGCCGCGCAAAACCGGGCTACAATTAGCGCTCACAACATCATCGATGCGCGGGCGGCCGCGATGAGCCGATAGGCGAGGGGTGTCGATTCCATGGTCGGAGTCCTCATCGCCGGAGGCCGCTGGCGTGATCTGGAAACCACGTACAGTGGATAGCGCCACTGGGGGAGAGCTCGAAGCTTTCTTGGTCATGATGACGAGAAATGCGGCTCACCACTGCGTCGAAATTGGAATGTGACAAACTGCGATGGCTAGGAGCTTGTCAACTCCTGTCGCAAATCTCGTCGCCTTCAAAGTGTGCCACGGCGGCGCTCCGGATCTACACGATGCGCGGATTCGGTTTGACGCTGAGATTCAAGAAGGCTCGTAACACGCATCTGGTACCTGAAGAAGGATGTGGGCAGATCAGAGGTTTGGTGTATAGGCATTTGCGAGTGTCCTTTTGTCAAAAGGGAGAGTCTGAAAGAGTATCGTGTTTGTTTCACCAAAAGGTGTAAAGAGGAAGAAGAGAAAGGGAAGCGAAAGAAAACAAGGAAGCAGCGGAAGAGGAAGCGGCCGGCCAAGCCACAGGCTGAATATTTTTAGTAATTGGATCAAAGCAAAAAGTGCATGTGCCGGGCATTTTTACTCGTACGGCTCCTCGCTGCAGCAAGCCTGGGCCTCACTCTTACTCGTCTGATGCTACCTCTTACTCGCTATAGCCCTTGCAAGCCCTTGAAACCTTCCTTGCTAGGGAGCTGGCCGCGGGGAACGGCGCGCTTTGCTCCAGAATTTACTGGACGGTTACAGCACATGTCAGCGTAAAAGCAGGGAGCGGCATGGTCCGCTAAACCTCGTTAGGGCAAAGTTAGGCTGCACCCCAAATCAATGCAAGCTGAGGCGGCCGAGAGAAAAAAAAAAGTTGAAAGAAAAAAAAGTTTCATTGATCGAACAAAGCGTGCTCCATCAAAGGTTCCTTTGTTTGACTGCCTCGTGCCAAGAAAGAAAGTACTCGCTCGTATATCACATGAGGCGCCCAAAGAGCTGGACGAGTGTCACGAGCTGTCATTTTCCCAGCCCAGTCGACTTACCGGCATAATCATAATCACAGGGGGAACATGCAATCTCAGCATTCCTTCGTCATGGTGTTTTCCCAGGGCTGCAATTGGCCCAGCGACCTGCACATGCCATGCGTGTTTGGCTGGCAGCCCCGGAATGCCAGGCATTGGCGGCAGCTCCGTCGGTGCACGAGCGAGTTGCCCTACTCTGCTAGGTATCGTCAGATTTGGTGCGGTGCCTGAATCCGCCGCAGACACTCTCCGAATCCTTCGACAAAGCATCCGTGCAGGCTTCTATCAGGTAGCTCAACTGCATGGTTTATGCGTCCAAGTACGGGCCATATGCCAGGTACTACCGCACATATGGACTTCAAATCCAGAGACTCTTTCGTCCATGCACTGCAGATGTCGGGCAGGAAAGCAGCGGCTCAGCAATATCTTAGTATCCTTTGTGCCTTATCCTAAACTCACATTCTCCCTGCGCTTACTGATGGGACCTGCTTTGTTCGTGGCCCCATATGCAATACAACGTGGACAGCCCGACTTGCTGCATCCGTCGACTCGTGGCAAATAAGTGTTTCCATGAGCGCGTACGAGTAGTCAAATATGTGCATTTTATAAGCACGGCTAACAGCGGAATTATGGTCCTAATGCATGTACAACGTGGAGACGTGAACAAACAGAGATTGTTGTAGCTCTCAAGCCGTTCAAGGTGGTCTAGAGCAATTCCACCGTGTACATGTAAAGCTCTGTCCTAGGTTTTCGACGACTATTATACTGACTACAGTATTTATTTATCCTAGCATAACGTGGCAATTTCTGTCAGAAGACGAAGAGCGTCAAAGATTTACATGATATCTCTGCCAGCGACATGAGACCACTCATGTACTCCGCCTGCTCACCGTTTATTGAGGCTAATCAAATATCTCTGTGGTCTCGTTTTTTCTCAAACTTTGAAATAGCGAGTTGAAGTAGAGGAATCGCTAGAAGTATCGCTTCTGGATATCGTCTATTCGTTTAAAATCATTGTTATTTAGCTTGAAATGCGGTCGTGCTTTTTCTGCTCCTATTGTTTGTTGGACAGCAGCTTAATACTAGCTGAAGCCTACATCGAGCCTTCCTAGGTTACGTAATCCAGGCCCACCAATTATCAGTGGTCTCAATTTTCTAGAGCTCTAAAGCTTAGGCAGCCTCATCCAGATTAAATGCACATGCTGAACGACCTTGCCATCCAAACAACGCCAAGAATCGCGCTGCTACTGGTTCCGGCGATCGAGTGCCCTTCTTTTTTTAGGCATTGGGTTTTTTCTTCTTCTTTTTCTTCTCTTCAAACACTATATTTGAATCTGAATTATTACTTCTCAAGAGACCCTCATCATCCTGCCACTAAACTAACCAACCACTCGCTCGTCACGAACTTCCATATCCAGACTCCTTGAACCAGCTCGACAAAATGATACATCCATCACGACAGGCGTACGTGGAGGAAGCGGAGCAGAGCACGGGCATTGCTTTAGAAGACGTCCCAGAAGATCATGACTACGAAATGAACATGGGCGATGGCGCCCCGCCAGAGAAAGCCTCCGCGATCCTGAACCAATTCAATAGAAAACGACTTGCGGCCACAATTGCCGTCCCGACTGACGATGGACGAGTTCGTTCCAAGCTGCGAGAAATGGGGGAGCCCATTACCCTATTCGGCGAAGGACCGGCCGACCGCCGAGACCGACTACGAGAACTATTGACGATTCAGGCGGAAATGGCTGGGCTTGAGAGTGGCGACATAACCATGGAAGATGCCGAAGACGCGGAAGAGGAGGAGCAAGAAGAAGAGTTTTATTCGAGAGGAGGTCCCGAGCTGCTACAGGCTCGTATCAACATCGCCGAATTCTCCTTGCCACGGGCAAAACGGAGGACAGCTTTCCAAAAAGTCGAGTCAACAATACCCTTGCGGACGCACGTCAAATTTCGCAAACAAATCAAGGATAGATTACAGGCATTTGAGCTGCAGGGAAGTCAGACCGTTGGCGAGAGGCATATAAGCATGACCAGATTCTCACCGAATGGGGAGCTAATTGCTGTGGGCAACTGGGGTGGTCAAGTGAAATTGGTCGAAACACAAAATCTGACGGAGAAGATGAACTTTCGTGGACATACCAACAAAATCAGCGGTCTCTCGTGGTTTCCTGGGGCTACCTTGCCCGAGAGCGGAGTCTCTCCAGACTCGGTCAACCTTGCGTCGGGTGGTGCCGAAGGGTTGGTCCATGTTTGGTCATTAAACAAAGATACTCCTCTATCAACCTTCAAAGGACACTCGCAACGAGTTTGCCGAGTAGAATTTCACCCATCCGGCCGTTATTTAGCATCTGCTTCAGAGGATACCTCATGGCGACTTTGGGATGTCGAGACAAATGCAGAGCTTCTATTACAGGAAGGTCATTCTCGGGGCGTCTATGCTGTCAGCTTCAACACGGATGGCTCCCTACTCGCTAGCGCTGGTCTGGACAGCATTGGCAGGATATGGGATCTACGATCAGGGAGGACAGTAATGATTCTAGATGGACATCTGGATGGACACATCAAGCCGATACACGCCTTAGACTGGAGTTCTGATGGACACCGAGTGCTGTCCGGCTCTGCTGATGGATGGATCAAGTGCTGGGATGTCCGCAAAGTGCAGAGGACCGGTGGTGTTGGTGCCCACAACAGTGCTGTCTCCGATATGCGCTGGTACAAAGGCTTGGATGACCCTCTTCTCGGAATCCCACCGGGTCAAGACGAGAAGGGTGCACAGCTGCCGAAGAAGGCCGGCACCTATTTTATCTCAAGTGGCTTTGACCGAAACATCAAGATTTTCTCGGCTGACGATTGGACTTTGGTGCAAACGCTAAGTGGACACACTGCTCCGGTTGCCAGCGTGGACTATAGCAATGATGGGCGATGGATTGTAAGTGGAGGACACGACCGCACAGTGAAGCTCTGGGGGAGAAACGACGGCGAGGCGATTTAGTCAAGATCTTGTACTTAATGTTGAGTGGGAATAACTGGCAAGTCGGAATTGATACCCAGGTTGGCGAAGAATCCCGTGATTTCCCTGCGGAATGAATCATCAAAGACGTCAAGTGTAAAAGTCAGAGCAAGTTCAGAGCAAACTCACTTACACTGAATCTTTGCTCTCACTTTACTGGACGACGGGATGTATCGCTGCTTAGTCATGTGACTAACCTGACTGCGGCTGTAGATTAGATAAGGAGGACGGACCCAGCCATGACCTTCGTAATGTTTGTCGCGCCACCCATCTTTAAACTCCGTCATAATGTACAGCCGACAAAGGTCAACAGAGTGAAAAACAGGTTTATTTTCCCCTACGCTGAAGCTCTCCATGAAATATCACAGTCGCTTCTTGCAGTCAATCCCCAACTTGACATAATCGCATTCAGCAATGGCGAGCATCGACCGCTATCGCCCCCCTCGAGAGGGCTATCAACCTCCGAGTCTCCAGGGATCTGCGCGCCATGAGAGGCAGTCTCGGTCGCCTCCTCGCCGTCGCGAAGTCCCTCCAGCTGCACCTACGCCTCCACAGCACAGCGCACGCACTTCTCCTCCGCGACCGCAAGCCGTATCCAGCCAGCAGACGCCATCGCGCTCTGGAGAGGAAACGCCATTGGCGCTACCGAATCAGTGGTTCTTCACGACGGACGAGGTTCAAAGCACGCCTTCAATAATCGATGGAATCTCGCCTTCGGAAGAGAGGCTTCGCAGGGCGAAGGGAATCAACTTCATCTATCAGGCTGGCGTGATGCTTGATCTGCCACAGATTACGCTGTGGGTGGCCGGCGTTTTCTTTCACAGATTCTACATGCGCTTTAGCATGGTTCAAGAGAAAGGGGGCATCCACCACTATGTATGAGTTTTTTTCCTCCTTTGTTCCTCATTTACCTCATTGCTGATCTTTGAAACATAGAACATTGCCGCGACTTCCTTGTTTCTAGCAAACAAGACCGAAGAGAACTGCAGGAAGACCAAGGAAATCATCATTGCCGTTGCTCGAGTGGCACAGAAAAATACGAAACTGGTTATTGACGAGCAGAGCAAAGAATACTGGCGATGGAGAGACAGCATCCTAACGTACGAAGAAGTCATGCTAGAACAGCTGGCATTCGACCTGATGATTGATAACCCTTATCGTCATCTTTTCGAACTCCTAGGACAACTGGAAGTTATCCACAACAAGCACTTGCGGCAGGCGGCTTGGGCATTCTGCAACGACGCGTGCTTAACGGCCCTGCCACTCTTGATTGAAGCGAGAGATGTCGCCATCAGCTCCATCTATTTTGCCTGCGCCCACACAAATCAGCAAATCGATGACGTAAACGGAGAGGGTTGGTGGAAGTTCCTGAAAGGGAGCGAGGACTGCTGTACAAAGGCCATTGAGGCGATGCGTCAGTTTTACACGGAGAATCCGCTTAGGAAGCAGAACCCATCACTGCCATCGCCGGCGTTCCATCTTGAAAACACACGGAGGCGAAATGATGCATTGAACGATACCCAATCATCCAACGCTGGAACGCCGATGGAACTAGACCGAGAGAGTCATAGCCCAGGCCCCAAGGTGAATGGGGGGACCGACCGACACTCGGAAGCAAGAGACAGAGAGCACGAGGGCTCCCTAAAAGCGCCAGGCGATGGTGAATACGCACCGCGATCCCCGTCGAAGAGAAAGGATGCAGAGGCCGATCTGTCTGCGGAGAGTGAAAGGGCCGAAAAACGGGCCAGACTCTCGGAAGATGAGGGTGAGCTGGTGGAAGACTAGGTTCCGGAGCAGACTTGTTGAATCAATTCAACCCTGCTATGAGGGGGTTTTGGCGTTGGGGATCTTTTACTAACCATGTGGTTTTTTTTTTACTTTTCTGCAATGGCACGATGGAACTGTCGCGGCAAAGATGTGACGTTTGTCATTTTAGCTTCAGGTAATGCTACGAGGTTGGGGATGGCGTTGGGGACTGTTTCTTATCAAAGCTACTCGCATCGACCCAGCTTGTTGGATAGAGACTGCCGCATAGGCACAATGGTTTAAATGCGACTTGATTGAGCTAGGAGATGGGGTTTGATTTTATGTATTTTTGCTATTCTATATCCGTAGTAGCTGGACAGAGCTTGATATCCCAAACATGCAAACTGATCAAAGTCTTACCTGGCCATGGCCATGATACAGTGCAATATGAGTCTCGTTGAGGATGAGAAGCAGCCATTCGTTGCCCAAAGCCAATGAGTTTACATGTCGTAACGAGCTGCAGAAGAAACATCATTTTGTTTCTTCCACTTACTACGGAGTAGTTGTTACGAGGTGGAATCTGCTACTATCACCACATTCCATGTCTAACCCGTGTATCTATGCATCTTTCAATTTAGCTCACAGCATGCCGGATACCCTAACTCGGGGCTAGCCACCTAGTAGGCACCCGCTGCTCTAAGGAAATATGACATTCAAATGACTTTTCTGCCTTGACCAGCTGCTGCCTTGTTGCAACGAGGCTGTGTTCATCCGAACATCAAACGAGCTCGCCCAATTGGCACCGCCCATTCTGCCACTCTGAGCGCCCTGACCGCCCCCCCCCCAAGCGTGCAGCTGCCTACAACTATAAAGTGCTTCAACGCCTGCCACCCTCTTCCTTTTTTTTTCTCCTTTTTCCTCTTTTCTTCTTCAGCTCTCTTTGCCTTATGGCTTAGATCAAGTGTAGTGTCTGTTCTTTTCAGTTTAATCTCTGAAACGTCTCCAAGCGAGACCTTCTTGATTACTCTTATTTTTGGTTCACTGGCGGGGATTCCTCTGTGCTTGCGCATGGGTTCTCTTGCCTACTGTGTCCCTGGTATTACACTGTTTCCGGGCGATGCGAAGTGTTTGGTGGTGGCTTTTCATTGCTTCTTGTTGGCTTGTCTGACGAGGTGAAGAAGAGTTGTAGTTTTAACAATAAGTGATTTGACTCTTGTGATATGGCTGTGCGATATTCCTAGCTTGCTCTACGCGTTGAAGGTCCATGCTAGACTTGAATACATGTATCTTTCCCCTTGTACCACGCCTTGTATCAAAGACCAATATGACTATTCAGTTTCTCTTTTCAAATCTCAACAATGCCCTTTTATTTTCATCACGCCGTCAAGCAAGAAACGCGAGATCGAAGCTTGTCGAGCTTCTGTGACGCTCGTCTTCAAAAACTTCCCAGAAACAGCCTAGCGCGGCGTAGAGCTACCGTCTGGTGCTCGCATCAAAAAAACATCATAAACTTGCAACCAACCAATTCTTGCACCCAAGCAACCGCCAGCCAAAAAGCCTCTATACCTCCCACGGCGGCCACCTTCCATCTCCAACTTGCGCATTCGAGGGCTTTGATCCGGCGCTCTCTTCACACAATGGCTACTTTGGGAGGCTACCTTAACAGTGAGCTCCGGCGCCCCTCGTTTCAACCCCGCAGACAACCCACGTATGAATTTCGACTGACGCTTTGGTGTGCTGCAGAAAAGGTGCTGATTGTGACGGCGGACTCACGAATCCTGGTGGGAGAGCTAGCAGCTTGTGATCAGTCGACAAATCTAGTATGTGCTTGTGCTTTTCCAACGCTGGGTAGCCTCGTGTGGGAGCTTCTTGTCCAGGACAGAAACACTAACGGACACGCGCTGCAGGTCCTCAAAGGCGCCGTGGAGAGAATCATTCGAACGCCCGACGACCCAGAGCCGTCCGCCGAGGTCCCTCTGGGCCTATATCTCGTCCGAGGCGACAATGTCTGCTCCGTTGGCCTGGTCGACGAAACGCTGGACGAAAGCATCGACTGGACACAGGTGAAGGGCACAGTAATAGGAGGCATCAAACACATTTAAAAGTCGGCTGCTGAGGGCACCGTTGCTCGATATACCAAAGGCTGCGATTTCAAAAGAGAGGAGGCGTACCAATTGAGATTTTTGATTTTTTTTAGTATGGGTCATTGGGGCACTCGGATCCCCTGGAGTTATGATAACGCATGAAGCCAGCCTTTTTGCAAAGGGTACGAATTTATATGGACCATCTATTTTAATATTATTCTTTTTCTAAGCTTTATTTGCTGACACGGCTCTTTGCACAAAGTACCAACAAAAGACTGTTCTATCCAAACACACGCTGCATCCAAATCTCCTTGAAGATACTTTCTCCTGGAGTTTTAATCACCCGCCTGATTCTGTTTCCCTTGCGAACGCTCAACCAACCCATGGTATCTCCTGGGACCTCGTCCAAAGTAACCAGGTGGAGGTCGGCCTCGGGGTCTGCTGAGAGGTCCGCGGCAGCCTCACCGGGCTTGGATCTGACACGCTTGTCAAGGATGTAGGATCCTGCAGTCCATTGTCCAATCGTCTCAACTCGGAGATCTTCAGGCTTTGCGGGCACCTTCCATCGCGGGTCGTCGTGTGTCAGCATGTACCAAACGGTAAAGGGATCGTGCAGTGCCAATTCGGGCTCCCTGCCGTCTCCCTCCATTGAGTCGATCTTGTTAAAGGCTCCGTTGATGAAGTGGGCGGCCCATCGAGCAAGGGGGCTGCCGGCATCAACAAGAGGCTTGACTGCGTCTTGGAAGTAGTTCTTGTTGATGAAGTGGAGGTTTGTGATGTCTAGGGGGCACAGGGTGACGGTGAGCTGTCGAGAGAGCTTCGCCGGGTACGGTTTGATGCCTGTAATGTGGCTAGGGATGGGCGGCAATGTCGACGCAGGGTTAGGCGATGTAAGGGCATAGACAAGAGCGGCAGCAAGAGGATCGGCATATGTGTTGAATTCCGCCGTGGGAGTGACGTTGCCGGGAACCTCGACGGCTCCGCCCATGACAACCAGCTCCTTGACCCTGAGGAATGTCTCGGGATCCTCAGTAGCTGCCAGTGCAACATTTGTGAGGGGGCCGACGGCCAGAATGCTGATGGTGTCTGGAGGGTTCTCTCTGAGAAGACGCAGCATCTCCTTGTAGGCGGGCTCCTTGGAAGCTGTAAAGCGAGGGTAAGAGGGACCGTGATCAGTGTTGTCATCCTTGTCAAACAAGGCCTTCCAAGTATCAGCGGGCTTCAGATCTTCATGGATATCATGAACATTGTGCAGTCCATCAGCGCCGTCTACATATGATTCGTCTCAGTCAGCAAAATCATTGACTACACTGAGGAAGCCAGCACATACGGAAGTAGTCAGCAGCCAAGATCGGGTCAGCCAGGGAGTGTTCAGCTCCCGCAGCCACAATGGTCTTGTGGGCTTTCAGAGTCTCATAGCCCTCGGGACGACCTTGAGACTTCCTCCACTCAAACTCCTTCTCCAAGACGTGGTACAGAGCAGCCACGTTTCGAAGGCAGCTAGAGGTCGAAATTAGCTAGGGCAAATACACGGATACTTGTGTGCCGTGATGGAGACATACCATTCCAGAGGAACATTGCCGTATGTGACAGAAATCATGGCCAGCTCAAGCTCTTCGGGGGAGGCACTAAGAGCCAAGAGAAGCGCCATGACATCGTCGACACCGGGGTCGGTGTCGAGAATAATCTTGCATTTCGGAGCCATGTTTTCTTTTTTAAGCTTGACGATATATGTTAAGACTATGTTCACGATAATGTGACCGAATCGCATAAAAGATATATAGGATATTGCACTCACAATAGTTGAAGCAAGTAACTATATCTGTAGCAATTAAGCCGGATTCGAACAGACAGAGTAGCAGCGGGCTTTTCTAAGAGGAAAGCACAACGAAGCAAGGAACTTTGAAGATTGGGGCGGGCCTATTTAACAGTGAAACTCTCCCAACGAGATCCAAATAGCCAGAAACTTGACTCTTTCGAACAACCAGGACCTGTGCCAAGACAAGGAGAGCCAAAAACCAAAGGTTGGCGGGGTTTGGAGTTTTCTGCTGAGATAATCCTCATAGCACACCGGAGTTTTCCCCGTTTTGGCGGCTCCCAGCGGCCGGCGACGGCCGAAGCAACGGCCAAAAGTGTGACTCTGGCGTGCCGAATGCTGGACCTCCGATCTGCGTCTGACAGCTAGACAAATAACACGCAGGTTCGTATTCTTTCGTATTTCGCCTGGGCTCTTCTTGGGGTTGCTGTTGGTTGCTTTTGGGGAACCTGTGTTGCCTTTTGCGGGTTATGCGTGTTTCCCTTCCCGGGCCGGGGTTGCGATTTGACAGGAAGCTTAATGGATGCTTCTTTGATATGATGGGATGAGTCAATTCCATGTTGCCGTTGGATAAAAGCCGAGCTCAGCCTGTTTAGACGGGTTTATAGTCTTGTCAAGCCATTGAGTAACAAATATCTACCTGCCTGCCTATCAAAAGCGGCGCAGAAAGTTGCTTGCTTGTAGTATTCAGTTGCCCCATGGATACTTTGGCCGCTGCAGGGTAGGCGCATCCAATTTTCTTGGGGAATCCAAGCCGCAATGGCCATGAACGCAATGTCACCAATAGCGAACAAAAGGCTTCAATCCTTCTGTTGCTCCAGACGCAGCAGCCCGGGGAACGTGGTGGGCGTGGAATGCGGCTGCATGGGCTCGTCTAGCGCCCCGGGAGGCTCTGTGCCACCGTCTGAGTTCCATCTGCTGCAAATTCGTCCAGTCTGTTGCACTTTGCATCCAGACTATCGAGTGTTGGTGCTACGGATGATCTCAAACCCGCTCGAGAATAACTAGAGGGTGCCATCGGGTGTGAATTGCCGTCAACAGCGCATTCTACGTGCATACAGGTGGCTCAATATAGACAACCTTAAGCCTCAACTGGCCGTCTTAAAACGCGGTTGACACCCCTAGGCGATTGCAATTCCACAGCTGCCAGCTAGCGGCGTGAATGATGGATGGATCCAATGCCAGCTGCTGTTACAAGTACATACTCATAGGTAGCAGTTGATGCCGATTACAACCTGTACTGTACTGTACCCAACATAAAACACGCCATGTCTAGGGCAAATTGAAGGAAAAAGGAAAAGATTGGCTTTGCGTGGCCTTTGCACCGCCTCGCCCTGACGCCAATACGACGCGAGGGAGCCCAAAAAAAAAGGCATTGATCAATCCAATCGACCGCATCACCAAAAACTCTCCCTCCAAACCAACCCTCAATTCACAAAGTCCACTGTAAACCCCCCAAAAACAGTCTCCTCTTCCAGGGGACGCCAATCTCGCAGCTCCAAAGCGGCATCTTAGGCGAAAGACGATCTCAGTGAAGCAGTTCCGGGCTCGCATAATCGAAGGCTAAAAGAAACTGCCCGCCCCACTGCTTCTGCCGCTCGGCCACTCAGGTGCCGCGCTTGGATCCCCCCCTGCTGGCCTTTTCTCCCTTCCCGCTGAACGACTCCCTGCAACTCTCCCCATTGGCGTTGCGAAAACGACACACCCCCTGCTCTGCGTTGAAGCCACCTGGTGCTTTTCTTTCGTGTCCTCAACGGTCTGTACGGCTTCCTCTCTGTCTGATTCCTTTTCCTTTCCTTTTCCTTCATGCTTGTTGGCTGCCATCATCCATCAATCCCGTGCTCCGGCAACTGGGCTTTCCCTTTGCCCTCTATTTCCACCTTTTCTCTTGCCCGCCCAAGTCCCGCAGAGGCCAGTTTTTAACGTTTCTGCCAGCTTGCGAATCGCGCCGGTTTGCCGCTGCAGACAGCCTCGCTGCATCGCCCGTGGGTGCAATCGTTGCAGCATCCAGCCAACTGCGGCACTCTCTGCAGCTATCCGACAATCGATCGAGCGTCTGACCATTGCGTTGCCTTGGTCTCTCTTTGGGCATATCGAAATACGTTACCTCAAGACAAAGAGAGCAGCACTTCTCCCCACCCGTCTCCATCTTGAGAGTCCATCTCGTCCGATCCATTGACGGCTATTCACGACACCAACGGTGGCCCCAAGTCATCATGGCTGATACGAATATGCTTTACACTGTCGGCGCGTATGCTGCCTTGATTGGTATTGGCTATGCCTTCTACCATGTCTCAACGCAAAAAGACAAGAAGAAGGGCGGCGTCACCATCACCAAACCCGTCAAGGTCTCACAACAACCAGAGACTCGGAAAGAGGACCGGAAAAAGAAGCAGCGTATGGAAAGCTATGTGACAGACCAGGACACCAACAAGTCATCCAAGGCCGATGCCCAAAAGGCAAAGGCCGTCGAGACTCCTCAGCGGTCGGGCAACCAAAAGGATGCCGAAAGCCAGGAAAAGATTGACAACCGGGAATTTGCCAAGCAACTTGCCAAGGCCAAGGAGGGCGCCAAGTTCAACACCAAGAACGACGGCCCCAAGCAGCGAGAGAAGACCGTCAAGCAGTCCAAGGCTAACAAGCCCAAGGCTGCTCCTGCCGCCCCCGAGGCCGTCCCATCTGCCCCATCGTCCAACGGCGCTGATGCCGATGACGACGAGTCTCCCGTTGTCCTCTCTCCCGCGACCAAGCCAGCGGACGTCAGCGGTGTCAGCGACATGCTCGAGCCCGCCCCCGCCGGCCCTTCCGTTCTGCGTCTGACTGATACTGAGTCCAAGAAGGACAAGAAGCAAAAGGCTCCCAAGAACCCGGAGCCGGCTGAGACCAAGAAGCAGAGGCAGAACAGGAAGAAGGCCGAGGCTGCCAAGGCTGCCCGCGAGGAGACCGAGAAGGAACGCAAGGTCCTTGAGGAGAAGCAGCGACGAACTGCTCGCATTGCCGAAGGCCGCGCTGCCAAGGATGGCTCCGAGTTCATGGCTGCCGTCAACGGAAACAAGAATGCCTGGGATGGAACCAACGGAACCAACGGTGCCGCTGAGAACAAGGACGATGCTTCCCTCTATGCGCCTCTCGACACCTTTGAGAAGCCTGCCCAGAAGAAGAAGGCTGCCGAGAAGGCCACTCCCGCCCCTGCCCCTGCTCCCAAGAAGGAGGCTGTCCAGAACCTAGAGAGCTCGTGGATCTCTGCTCTCCCGTCCGAGGAGGAGCAGATGGAGATGCTCAAGGAAGAGTCCGACGAGTGGAACACGGTTAAGAGCAAATCTTCCAAGAAGGCCAAGAAGGCACCCTCGGCCGAGTCTGGAGAGGAGACGCCGCAGGCTCGTCCCGCCCCTCAGCCCAAGCAACCCTCCGAAACCAATGCCAACAAGTTGACCAAGCCTGTGGCTGCTAAGAGCTTTGGAGGCTCCTTCTCTGCGTTGACTGTTAAGGGCGACGATGTCGAGGAGGACGCCGAAGAGGAGTGGGACGTCTAAATACACATAAAGAAGCACGACGACGAGAACCGCCGTGCATGTGTTGCATGCATTGCACAGTCGCCGGGAGCAGCTTGAGGGCTGCTTGCCCGCCTCTGTATACTATTACCTGCTGACATGCCATAACTGTCGGTAATTCCCTCTTTGCTAGTTTCTATGACTGTCATTTCTATGTTGGATCAGGAGGCATTCTCCAAAGAGTCTACCGCGGGAGGTAGGGGGAAAAAAGGGGATAAGACCTGTTGATGTATGTGTTTGAGAAAGACACTTGATCACTTGGCCGGCGGCTCAGGGGCTTGCAGATTTACCTAGCCTAACATGGCGTACAAGTGCCGCATGGTCGACCGAAGTTTTTTTTTTCTTCACCCATCTTGTTTTTGTTATGATATTAGCTATTGAAGAGCAAGACTGGAGGGGGACAAAGGGTCTCGCAATGGACGCAAAAAATGGAGGATACAGATGCTGAACGCGACATTTCTGAAGGACGAAAAGATGAAGGATGAGATACAAGGGCGCTCGTGTGTGTAAATACTCCGTTGGTATCAGCTCGCAAAATGGGGCAAATCTACGCTTGCTATGATTGATGATGTTTGCTTGTTGTGATTTTTGAAATGTGACGGATGTCTGTGTGTGTCTGGTGAAGCAGTCGTGTAGTTTGGGAATATTTGGGCACTAATCATACGCACTTGTTTGTTGATTTAAAAGTATAATCAGCATTGTACGTGTACGACCACGTATTATTGATTTAATGGTGTTGCTACGATTGATTTCCACCTCTTTTTTCATGGAGTTTTGCATCTACGAGTACGAGGACGATGAAGGTGAAAGCTACCTACCTAGTAGCGAGTGCCAACATGCTCTAGTGTGCCTCTAGGACGTGCTACTAGGCCCAGCTAATGAAAGATTCAGTCCCCCCGACCTACCGATTTGGAGTGTGGGAGGTGGGAGCACGATAGTTCCTTGGCCAGTTTAGTATTTGCTGGTGCCTGGATGCGACACGACACCCACTTCCATTCCCCCAGACATGCCGGGTGCTACAATGGCATTCCTTGCGGTTGAATGTCTCTGTCATCTGTCCCCCCTCGTCAGCCCTCCTCGTTGTCTATTTTTTGTGTGGCTATGGAGGAGGGCATTACGTGGCTACGACGACAAATGTTCGTAATGGGCCACTCACACACCACTCAGAAAAGCAACCAGCATCTCCGCCTTCGCCTTTGGTGGCGTGGCCCGAGGTGGTGAGCCGGCAAGCCGGGTTGCCGTCCAAGGGACCCTGCAATAGGATCCAGCGTCTGGAGAATGGAGTCTGCTGCAACCCAGGATGGGGATCTTTTTTTTTTTCTTAGCGGCCACGCGGGG